TTGCACCAGCAAAGCAGCCCTGCTCAGGAGCGGGGGGGGGCCTTGGCTGCAAGCAAAGCAAACAGAGCTTTTTTCCCCCCCCAGGGAAAAAAGGATCTACCCAGGTTGATTGTGCCCCTCCCCTCAAGCTCCCTTTATTTTCAAGGGGGGGGCAACTCATTCTGCTCCATCAAAGCCTGGGAGGGCCAAAGGGTGCGCCCCCCCCCCAGGGAGAATGACAACATGGCAGCCGCCGATGCCTCCTCTGGTTCCTAACTCAGCCATATGACCCTCTCCTCTGGAAGGGGGGGGTGCTTCATTGGTCCTGCAGCGCTGGGGGGGGGGCTGAGGGGGGGGGCAAGAGGCCTCCCCTCTGGAGAACGAGGCTGTCTCCAGGGGGCTCAGCTGATCTCTGTGAGGTCCCACAAGGTCCTCTGCCCAGAGCACCCCCCCCCTTTTTTCCTTTTTTTTTTCTTTTTTGCAATGGGGAGTAAGGGCGTAACACCCACCAGGCCAGCTGCAACCCCTCCCCAATAAAAATACCCCCCCCCCCGAGCTGCCTGCCGTGTTTGGGGGGGGTCAAAAAGAGCCTCCCCCCGAAAAAAAGAAATAACCCTGTAGAAGTAAAGTGATCTTGTTTGAACGGAGTTTTATCTTTTAAAAAAAGTTGATTATATATATATAAATAAAACCTACAGATTATTACCCGCTGCTGTGCCAGTCTCTGAAGGGGGGGGAACCAGACACGGGGCGCCGAAGCAAAGCTCTGCCAGTAAAATAAATCTATCCCCTGCGTGCAGGAAGTCCTCAACTTACGACGGCTTAGCGACCGTTAACAACAGCACTGGGAAAAAGTGATTTGGGGGCATTTTTCGCACGGCTGTTACAGCGCCCGCCCCCCAACGATCGGGCGATCAAAACGCTCAGTGACTGACTTGTCTTTACGACGGGGGACAAAGTCCGTGGTAGAAGCCAAGATCCATTTAACAAATTGTGGCAGGGAAGGTCGTAAAACGGGGCAAAACCTCAGTTTGTTTAGCGGTGGGAATTGTGGACCACCCGTGCTTGGGGAGGGGGGGTCGGTCCTGGCGGCAAAGCGAAAAACCACACCATCCACTGGCAGTTACAGTTTATGTATAAAACGTCACCGGATTTGTGTGTCCCGGGTGTGTGAGAGTGTGTGTGTGTGAATGAGGGATGCTTGTGCGTGAACAGCCAGCCGGACTCCTGGCGCCCGTCTCCGGCCTTCCTCAGCTCGCCCACTGCTGCAGCTTCCGGTACATCAGGAAGGTGGTGGCCGGGGGGCGCCTCTGGGCCTGCAGCTTCAGGGGGGGCAGCCCCCCCACCTCCAGGAAGGGGGTCTCCGTGAACAGCTCCTCTGCCCTGTAAAAGGCCATCAAGTCGGGCCCTTCGCCGGCCGCTTCCTGTAACACAGGCAGGGAGGTTTGCCGGTCAAGCTCGCCGCCCTCCGAGCCCACCTTCGCCTGGTGGATGGCGGGCCAAGACCCTCTCCAGAGGCACCCGCTACCCCCACCCACCGTGGGCACGTGCACCCCCCACCAGGCGCTGCCAGGAGGGCGCCCTCTGCACCGGGAGCCACGAGGCCCATCACCCACCTTTCGGTCCCCGGGATGGTGCTGGACGACGGCGAGTCTCTCCTGCGCGGCGGAGCTGAGCAGTTCGTCGGCCGGCACCTGCAGGCTGATGAGGCCCCGGTAGAGCTGCTGGTCCCGGGGAATGTTCAGCCCTGGAAGAGTGGGCAGCGTGGGTGGTGGGGGGCCAGGCAGTGGAGGGCCACTTTTTGCAAAAGGGCAAGTTGTAATGGGCCTATTTACAGGGGTGGGCAACCTGGGCTCTTTTATGGCTCGTGGACTTCAACTCCCAGAATTCCTGAGCCAGCCACGCTGAGGGGAAAGGGAGAGGTTTCCAAGCTGAGCCAGGCTGGCTCAGGGATTCTGGGAGTTGAAGTCCAAAAGTCATGAAGGGAGCCATAGTTCCCCCTTGCTGGCTGAGGAATTCTGGGAGTTGAAGTCCACTAGTCATCAAGGGAGCCATAGTTCCCCCATGCTGGCTGAGGAATTCTGGGAGTTGAAGTCCATGAGTCACAAAAGGGTCATAGTTTCATCATGCTGGCTCAGGAATTCTGGGAGTTGAAGTCCATAAGTCATAAAAGCCAAGGTTGCCTACCCCTGGCCTATTACAAGCCCTGGAGTGGGGGGGGGGCTGAAGTGCCCCAATGAATGTGATGGGCCCTCCTCCCCTAATACAGGCAGTCCTCAACTTACAACAGTTTGTTTAAAGTTACAACAGCAGAGAAAAAAAGTGACTTATGACCATTTTTTACACTTGCGACTGTCAAAGGATCCCCTCATGGGGTCACGTGATCAAAATTCAGAGAATTGGCAACCGACTCACATTTATGACGGTTGCAGCGCCCCGGGATCAAGGGATCCCCTTTTGCGACCTTCTGACAATAGGGGAGCCAGATTCACTTAGCAACCAGGTTGCTCAACCATTGCCGTGATTCACTTAACGACCGAGGCGAGGAAGGTCGTGAAACGGGGCAAAATCCACTTAACGTCTCCATTAACAACATAATTTTGGGGCTCAGCTGTGGCCATAACTCAAGGACTGCCTGTAATCCTAAATTTAACCCAACGCTTATGGCCGCTGTCCACTCAGCCGTGCGCCTGGTGGCCGGGCACTCCGGGAATGGCTGTCTGGAGCCACCCCTCGAAAGATTTCACTCCCACCCCGGGGCCCCCACGGAGAAGGCCCTGCTTCCCCCCCCCTCCCTTACTCACCCTCGCCCACGTGAGCTTCCGCGGCGCCCCGGGCCACGAAGGAGCGCTGCACCAGCCGCTCGGCCGCCTGCCGGGCATCGAAGGCCCGCTCGCGCGTGGCCCGCACCTCGGCGCCCAGGGCCAGGCTGCTGTGGGGCAGCGGGGCGCCCAGCGGGCGGAGGGCGGGCGGCCCCCGGGGCTCCCTCCTCGCCGGCCCGGAGGCTCCCTGGGGGTCCGCGGGGGTCCGGCCGCCTTGCAGCTCCTCCTCTCTCTGCTCTGCCATCCGAAAGCGGACCTGCCAGGGGGGAAAAAAGACCCCCGGCGTTCTTCCACGGCAGCCCCCGGCCAGCCTCCCCGCAGGGAGCAGCCTCGGCTTGGAAGGGGCCCTTGAGGGCATCCAGTCGGGCCCTTGCGTGGGGCAGGAATTCCCAGGCGAGCCAGCGGAGGCTCCGTTAAGGAGAGGGGGGTCCCCCCCGTGCGCCCCCCCCCACCGGGCAGCCCGATGCC